CTCATCAAAAGACATCATAAAATGAGTAAAACCAAAGCCAGGGAGTGGGAAGTGACATGTGCAACAAGTGTAAAGATCTTTCACCAATAAATATTTTTAAAAAGTAGATGTCAAAAACACATTAACAGGCATTGCATGGAAGGTGAAACATGGAAGTCCAATGAACATTTAAAATGTGATCAATTTCATTTGTGATAAATTAAACACTAATTAAAATTGCAACAAAACACCATCTCATACCTCACAGTTGAGCGAACATTTATGAGTGACTATGAAAAGGTTGGCTCAGATGTGGAACAGAAGAAGCTGTCATTCCTTGTTAATTGGAATGTCAACTGTTGTAACATTGCACAGCTGGACAAGTTCACACCCTTAGTTTCATTAATTCCCATCCAGTTCATAAAGTAGATACATGTGGATGATATTCCTAACAGCAAAGAGCTGTAAACAGTTCCAACATCCAGCAACAATAGAATGGATAGATTTTGGTACATTTAAAGTGTGGACTACTATATAGCAGTAAAAGTAATTCAATGGCATGCATACAAACAAATGAACCTCAGAAACCAATACCACACACAAAATAAATATTATTTCACAAAAGGATAATCACTGTGATTCTATTTACATAAAGGGACAAAAGAGGAAAAGCCTGTGTACTGTTTAGGAACTCATATGCATGTGCAAATCTCAAATAAAAGGCAGGGAATGACATAGAATTGAGATATACAGAAAAATTAGAATCTTTTTAAATGAGAGTGGGTGTTGAGAACATGAGAATTTGCTTTACTATTATTATGCAAATTATGAACTTATATTACCTACAAGCTTTTCTTTGTATACTTTATTTCTTAGTAAGATTTGTGCCACACATCAAAATAAATTCCAAGTGGCATTTAATATAAAATTTGATACCATAAACCTTAAGAATAAAGTATAAATATGTATGCAATCTTGAGATGGGGAAGACCTTGATAATAAAATATAAATATATATGCAAGCTTGAGATGGGGAAGACCTTGATAAACTCTGATGGACTGGGTTTGTCCACCCGGGTAGATGAGTTGAAGTTCTAACCTGCGGAGACTCAGAATGTGGCTGTATCTACAGACAGAGTTTTTAAAGAGGTAAATAAATTGAGGCCTTTAAGTTGTGCCCTAATCCAATATGATTCTTGTCCCTGTAAGAAAAAGAAATTGAACACAGAAAGAAACCCCAGGGATGGGTGCACACAGAGGAAGAGGCAAGTGTGGACCCAGAGAAAGTGATCATCTGCAAGTCAAGTAGCAAGTCCTCGAGAGACTCAAGCCCAACCACACTATGATCTTGGATGTCCAGCCTCTGGAGCTGTAAGAAAACAAATGTCTTTTGTTCAAGCTTCTGGGGATATGCTATTTTGTTATGGCAGCTTCAGAAAACTAATATATAAGCATTACGTTAAACGCCAAACTACATAGAAAAGTCTTCATGGGTTTTACTACAACATTGCTAAACACTTACACATCAAATAATAAAAGGAAAGTTACAGACTCAGAAAACTAGAACACATTTGACAAAATCTGACATTACCAGTAAATAACTCCTACAAGTGTGTAATAAAACAAGTAATCTAGTAAAAGGTTTGGCAAGACACATAAGCTGAAATGTTCATATAAAGAAATACAAATGCTTGTTAGAAAATAGAATAAAAAAGTAACTTCCATCAACAAATTAAGGTTGAGATATTATTTTGTCTTCTATTAAGAGACAAAAGCCTCATAAAATAATAGCACACACGTTTAACAAAGATTGTAGCTATCATCCTTAGCAGATCTAAGTATTCAGCATTCCTTCTTGTTTGGTCCTTTGACAGTACATACAGATCAAAAAAGCTATAAAAATGATTTCTATATGGCATGGAAATATTAAGTATCACTTCTGGGAATATATACCAAATAATTAGGTAAATATTTTGACCACTTTACTTTATAATCTTTACTCTCAACATAAGGATTTGGTTAAACAAAGTATAGCAACTTTCACACCATGTAAATGTTTAAATTGGAAAGAACATAAACCAAAATATTAAGCGAGATCATCTCTGATAGTAGATTTTCTGAGCTGTATGCAGATAAATTTAAATGTCATCTTTCATAGTTACCAATATTTTTCAAAGTTTGCTACAATAAAATATAGATTGCTTTGATAACAATGTGGTGGTGGTTTAGTAGCTAAGTCCTGTCTGACTCTTTGTGAACCCATGGACTGTAGCCCTCCAGGCTCCTCTGTCCATGAATTTCCCAGGCAAAAACACTGGAGTGGGTTGCCATTTCCTTCTCCAGGGGATCCTCCTGACTCAGGGATGGAACCCATATCTCCTGCACTGAAGGCAGATTTATTACAGCTGAGCCTCCAGGGAAGCCCAAGAAGTCTATAAAGTCACTTCAAAAGCAACATGAAAGCAACTGCTGAGGGGTCTGAATAGACTGGGAAGTGGACCTCCCGTGGGTCTGAGGCCAGGACAGGCCCATCTGCATCTGAATCGTGGGCACTCTCACTTGCTCTGCAACCTTGGCTGGGTTTCTGAAAGTACTGAAGTCTGAGTTTCGTCAGCTGCCTCAGAACCTTGTTTCCGGAACTCAAAGGGCTCAGAGTGGGCACAGAGAAAGGCTGTTTCTCACCAACTCCTCCAACCTTGTACAGTGAGAAGTAGATTTTTAAAGTTGAGAGTAATAAGGTCTTTTTGAACCAGGGGGGATGCAGAAGTAGAAACAGGCCAGAGAGATGGAAAGAATCCAAACAGGACCAGAATCCAAAGGATGCTAAGCATGATCACCCTGTGCTCAGTATCATGAGTCATTCCCTGGGATTTGGGGGGTTGCTAGCTACCCTCACTATGCGAGGAAACCCTCACTCTGCTAGCTACTCTCACAGATGTGATGAACGGACTCATTGGAAAAGACCCCGACGCTGGGAAAGATCGAAGGCAGGAGAAGGGGGTGACAGGCAATGAGGTGGTTCAATGGCATCACCGACTCGATGGACATGAGTGTGAGTAAGCTCCAGGAGTTGGTGATGGACAGGGAGGCCTGGTGTCCATGGGGTCACAGAGAGTTGGACGTGGCTGAGTGACTGAACCAAACTGAGCTACCCTCATATAAGTGCCAATATATGTCTTATCTCGTATAATTTCCCACACAGCTCTATAATGCAATAGGATTGTCATTTCTACTCTAGAAGTAAAGAAACAGGTGATTAAAGACAGTAGGTGTCCTTTCCAAAATCACACAAGTAGACAGGGTAGCAATAGGATGTGAAAGTTTGTGTAACTCAGAGCCAGCTTGTGTCCATCCGCCCAGCAACCCTGTTTCTAAATGCATTCACCCCGACTCACACAAGCACAGTTTACTTCAGGCTTGGGGGCTGAAAATGACCGGCTTCTTACTTCAGCATTTGACAACATATTGCTGTCACTTTCAACTAGGTGTCAGAAGGAAGAGAAAGATGGAAAACTAACTACATGGAACACATTGTGATATCAGATCATTTTCCCCCTGGTTAATGTTGTCTTCTTCCAGTGGCAATCCCCCCTGATTCTGCACGCTCATCTTTGTCAGATGGTGCTCAGCTGGTGGTCAAGATGCAGGTGCAAGGCCCCAGGAGCCTTCTTGGGCATCACCCTCTCAGCTCAGCTGTCTCCAGATCATCTCCAGATCTAAGTGAGATAGTCAGCACACAGTCCTCCCACTGTTTCCCTGAGGCACCTCTGCCTGCAGCCCCTTCCTGCCCATGGGGAGGACCTTTCCTATCTACCCACATCTTCCCTTCCCTCTCTCTCCAGAGAGTGGCTTGTGAATTGCTTTTCAGAGGATACATATTATCGAATTACTTTTCCTCATTCTAACTCCCTGATACAAAGAAATTCTTCCTACCACTGGGGGGGGGGGCATGTATCTTTTAAAAAGATACATTTTTTAAAGAAAAAATGTTAAATTTTGAAGAAATTCTTCCTACCAGTAGGGGCCCATGTATCTTCAAAAAGATACATTTCCCTACCTGTTCATTTCTTATTGCTGGTATAACAAATGAGCACAAGCTCATTTTCTCATCCGTAGGAAGAGGTCCAACATGGATCTCGCTGTGTGGGCATCGAGGCGTCGTGGGGCTGTGTTCCTTCTGGAGGATCGGGGTCTGTTCTTTCTAGGGGTCACCGCACTGCTCACTTGTGGGCCCAGCAACTACTTCAGTCCCACTGTGGCTCATGTCCACACATCTCCTTCACCAGCTGTGATCCTCCTGACTCCCGCCCTGACTTCTGAGGACCCTTGGGACTATATTGCACCCACACCAGTAACCCAGAAGGGCCTCCCCACGTGTAGATCCTTTCTGTAACCACACCCACACAAGTCCCTTTTGCCATGTGAGTTAACACAGTCATAGGTTCTGGGGATTAGGACCCGGACATCTTTTGGGGGGAGGGGAACTATTGATCACACTACTCAATCTGCGCAACTTGAAAGAAAATTACTTTAAACAATTGCAAAGTAACTTCACAACAATTCAGAGTATAATCAACTACTAAAATATGATATACAGATAATAAAACAATTGGGTCATAATGCGGGTCAGAATAAACAGGCCTAGAAGAATGCTTTCCTAATTTTTCACCAGCAAGAAACAATGATCAGACTGTATTTGGGTGACACCTGTCAGGGCCGTGCCCTGAAACATGAGGTCGGGGAGGGTGTGTGGGGTCCGCACAGACAGGGCTGAGCCCGGAGAAGTGCCGGTGACCGCAAACCCAGAATCCACCGGACAGCGAGGCCTGCTGAGGGTTCAGGCAGGAGGAGCCCCAGACACTAGGGCGGGAGCTGGGTGGGCAGGATGTGGCTGCGTGTGTGGGGGTCCCAGAGATGAGGCTTCTCACTACCTATTTGTGCAAGTGCCCCACCATCTTTAAGTCCTAGTTACCGCGTGATGTCCTGATCTGTAGCGTCCATTCAACACAAAAGCACAACGTTTTAACAGCAGCGTGGCAGGGACTGCAGGGGGCGGTCCGGGCCGCTGAGATCAAGAAGCAAGGGAGAAACGGAGCGCCTCCGCTGAGCCCGGAGCCCCGGGGGACTCCTCCCGCCTCTCCCCTCGGTGATCCCCAGCCCCGGAGCTTCCCGCTCGGGTCCTCTGCGGGGGAGGCCCGGGCGCCCGCACGTCTGAGTCCTGGACCCCGCGACCGAGCTTGGGGACAGGCCGCGCACCGGTTCTCCCGGTCCTCCGCCCTCACGTTCCCGCGGCGGCGGCCGAGGCCCCAGGTCGGGCCCGGGGAGGCGAGCGGGCGGGGGACGCGCGGCCCCGTCGGTGGCCGCGTGCGGGGAGCGGGTGCAGTTTCTTCTCTCGGGGCCGAGCCCGTTCGATCGGAAGTCCTTAGCCCGGCAGAGGAACCGCTGTCCCGCCGGCGGGGCCCCCGGGTCCTCCTTCCCGGCCCGCGGGGGATTGGGACCGTCTCCGGGGCCCGGAGGCCGCCGGGCTCTCTCCTCGCCTCCTCCCGGCTTCTCGGGGCGCAGCCGGCTGCCGGGTTCCCGCGCCGGCCGCGGCGGCCAGGGGTCCAGAGCTCCTGCGGGGACGGGACTCCGGATCCCGCCCGGCCCCGGGCCCTCCGTGCGAGTCGACTGCCCCGCGGGCGCGGCTTCCCGGAGTGGCCGGACGAGCGGCAGCCCAGTCGGGGAGACGCGGCCACCGAAGGCGCCGTCGGGCAGGGACACGGGGCCGCCTACGCTCCTGGCCTCGACGGCCACCCCGTCTGCAGCCCGAGGACCGGAGGACACCGCGCGAGGCCGCTTCACCGTCTGCCCGCGGAGCGCAGGGGCGGCCCCGAAACTATGACTTGGGGTCAATTGCAGGCACGCCGCTTCTTTGATCCATGTCTCTGATGTGAAAGGGCCCAGATCTCCCACCATGGGCCGAAGAAATGTTCTTTATAAATGTTTTGTAGAAGGCGTTCTTTCCCCTGCCAAAATAAGATGGTGGGTGATTTGAAACACCACCGTCACCCACACTGTTGGCGGTGAGCCTGAAGGGCAGGTCTCAGTCCCGACCCCTTTGGGTGCACCGCGCACAGAACACTGCCAGACACGGCTGGTCATCAGCCGTCAGCGAGTCAGCTCCAGGGCTGGGGCTGGAAAGGCGGCTTCTCTCCCTCTGGGAGCCTCACTAGGTACTGCTGACTTGATGGGAGAGGAACTGTGCCCAGAGAGTAACTGCTGCTCAAAACTCGATGGGCGCCCAGCGCGCAGCAGGAAAACGGGTACCGGACAGGGCAGCTTCACCCCCTGCTGGAGGCTGGGGACGCACAGATCAGGTTGTTGCAGCAAAAACAGAAATGAAACTTTTCCTCTCCTGAGAACAAGGAAAGTAAACAGCAAAGAGACTAGAGAAGAAACATGACCGGTCGTCAAAGAATTAATCACTCCTAGTTTTAAGTGTTACTAGCCTGTAGTGTCTGTAACCAGAAGTCCCCTAATGCTAGGTAATTTTCATCCTGTACCACATTTTTGTTCTCCCTGAACCCTCTTATAGCAAGTCACCCCATAGAGCTGTTGTATTTTGGAAGGAAGGTGGTAGGCTGACGGACCCAGGAGACCCAGGTTGTATAGTCTCTCAGTTCCCCCAGGTGGGGACAGGGCACTGTGTGCCCCCCTTGGCCAGCTAAGGAGTAAAGCCATCTACTTCCTCCAAAATTCCGTCTCCGTATTTTTTAATGTGGTGGGTAGAGAAAGGCGAGATTTTGGCAGTAACAAGGTGGCCACGCATGAGCAGGGAAGGGGGCGGGGGACGGAGCATCCCTGGGGAAGGACTTTGTCCCCTCACACCTCAGGCAGCTTTTGGTAGTATGGTTTTTTATTTTTGATAATAGGTTTCATAGTTTCAGCACATGGCTAGTACAATCACTCTGTTTTGGAATGGTGATCTCTATGGGTGGGAGATTCCACTATAACTGGATAGAATAGGCCATGCATCTTACATCCCATAGACCAAATTCTGCTCCCAGATTGTGCTGGTAGGACCTGAAAGCTAAAAATGGTTTTTATATCTTTAAATGGTTGAAAATAATTCTTAAAAATAATATTTGCAGCATGAAAATTATATTCATTCGGATTTCCTTGTCTATAAGTAATGCTTTATTGAGACAGGCTCTTTTATGTACCTTTTTTTGGTGGTGCTTCTTGGATACAATGACTGAACTGAGGAGATGCAACAGATGTCATAAGGCAAAGCTAAAATGTTTACTCTCTGATCTTTACAGAAGTTTGCCAACCTCCACTCTAAAAATATGGTAGTTTTCTTTGTTTTTAAACACATATGCTGAGAACTATACTTTAGGAACAGTTACATTGTGAATTTTGTTCTTTGAGACAAATCTCCTCTAGGTAGATGTAAAACTCCTTATGTCACTCTCAGTAATCTCAGTTTAAACATGCTGCCTGTGTACTCAGTTGCTACTCAGTTGCTAAGTTGTGTCTCTTTGTGACTCTATGGACTGTATCCCTCCAGGCTCCTCTGTCCATGGAATTTTCCAGGCAAGAATACTGGAGCAGGTTATCGCTTCCTCCTCCAGGAGATCTTCCCAACCCAGGGATCAAACCCAGGCCTCCCTCATTCTTTACCATCTGAGCCACCAGGAGAACCTCTCAGGAGAATGGTCAAGTTGAATCAAGTTCTCAGAGTGATGTTTACTCTACTTTCTGTCTCAACTGTCACTCCTTAATTGAATCTCACAACTTTTTCTGCCTTGATTTGTCAAATTTTCCACCTCTGCCTGTCCCCTGCCCCCAAAGGGTCTTTCTGCATACCTTCTAATCTATCCTTCATACAACAGAAAATGTTACTTAAAAAAAAAAAAGAAAAGAAAACACCAAATCCTCCTTAAAAATTTCAGTTGTTTCTCACTACTACCAGGCCCAAGATTCCAGGAACTTCCATGAAGGACCCCTATGTTTCTCCTTACTCTAATCTCCCAGCCATTCTGGACTTTTAGTACCTGGCACTATACATTTCCCCCTGATCCAAGGCTCTATCTATGCTGTTCCTCCTGCCTGGGGAGCTCTTCTCCCTACCCCTTGTTCCACCAGCTCCCCATCATTTCACCTTCATGTCTAATACCCCTTGTTTAGGGGAGTCTTCCCTAACCCTTCCATCAGCTCCCAGAGCCCCTGTATTCACCCTCTGCAATATTCATCAGATTGTCAGTTCTTATGTGATTTCCTGCTGGACTGAAAACTTCATGAAAGCAGGGCTATGTCTTGCTCATAGTCCTTTCATGGCCCCTGACATGAGTTGATTCTCAGTCACTATTGAATGGATGATTGAAGGATGAGTGACAGGGGTGTGCTGGAAAGGGCCTGGCTCTGCGATGATCTGGAGATGCCACACATCTTTGGCGGATTTGGAGATTGACCTAGGTAATCTTTAACATTCATCAGCTCTGACATGTATTAATCTTTGGGCTTACACCCCAGCCTGTTCCATTTGCTCCTGGATATTTGGTTGAACTTGGTTGTACTGAGTGACTTGACATTCAGCATTAGGCTGTGGATAAAAAAGTTAAAAGTGACAGCAGTTTGGTTACAGATAAGTACACACATAAAATAATCTACGTAATTTCTGTGATCTTCTTTAAGTTACACAATTCAGAGAATAGCCACCAAAATCACATAGTCATGTACTTGGCCAGATAGTTTCCTGGGTACTAAATTACTATAGCCAAAGAACCAAGTGTTATCTCTGAAAGTCTGGGAACTAGCCACATTTGGCCAATGGAGAACTTAACTTACGGCAGTTTTTATCTTTTGCTAAATATAGACACTGGAAAGTGATAGATGACCCTCCAAGGGGACTAATCAAGCAGGTTAAAACTTATACTCTAGAAACACAAGGGATCCTCCCCATGGGAATGTCACTTTAGTCAAAGCTTTCAACATCCTCTGAAATGGGGAACATACAGGGCAAAACTCTGCCAGCTATACTTGCAATTAAATTTTGCTTGTGGCTTTTTATATGAGTGGATTCTCATTAATATCTGTTCATAGATTCCAAGATCACAATCAATGTTTCCTGAATTACAGAAGTCAGTTCTGCATCACCTAGGATTAGGGCAGATTCAAACCCACTCTTGTGGTTTAATGTAAAAACAACCTTCTGTAAAGGCCTATAGAACACATGGTCAGCTGACTCTTTGGCTAAAATCTGGGGAAAGTCTCTTAGGGAGTTGTTTTCTTGCCAGATGTTTGGTACTACAAGGGGAGAGGTTCAAGTCTGGACTTGTGTTTCCAAACAGTTGCTCTAATTAATGCAGAGTTTATCAAAGGTGATGTCCATTATCACCATTGTTGGAAACAGAGTCATTACTGAATGACCACACACTTTCCTGATGTGGAGTGGAAATGCCCCAGAGCCACACACTAGGGCTGGGAGAATCTGCCCCATGACAGGCGGTGGGAGGAGATCACATTCCTATCTCAGTGAGTTTACCATCCACTGAATGATCATTCTCACAGGCAGCCCCAAGATTCCACATGGAATGTTGACAGGGTAACTGACCCAGGACCTACTAAGACCTGCACTAGCCCTGCAGGCTGACAGAAAAAGGGTGATCTAACTTACATGTGGCATCTTAAAATAAATAAATAAATAAAAAACAGAGCACCAAGGTCATCAATACAGAACACAGATCGGTGGATGCAAAGGGCGGGCTGTGGGGGTGTGAGGAGTGGGCAGAGGTAGTCAAGGGGAACAGACTAGCAATTATAGAAAAGTAACTCATGGGGTCATCTTGTGTAGCATGGCAACTATAGCTAATAATACTATTTATTTTTACTTTGTGCACTTAAAAGTTCCTAAAAGAGTGGATCTACAAAGTCTTCATCACATACACGAAATTTGTAGGTATGTAAGATGATGGACATGACATGGACTTATCAAGGTGATAATTTCAGAATATATATAGATAAGGAATCATTATGCTGCACACAGAAAGCTAATATAAAGGTAAAAGTCAACTATGCATCAATTAATAAAAACTAGAAAAAGGTGGAAGGATGATATGTGCTCTCACAATTGCTGAGAAAGATACAGCATTGAGCTTTGCATCAGGGTCTGCAGTCTTCCTTCCTCTCATCAATGGAAAGGATACGTACAGCCTTGGATACAGCAGATAGGATAGGCCTGGGGTTCTGCATTTCTCATAAGCTCCCAGGTAATGCCAATTCCTGCAGATTCCTGGCTGCACTTTGAGTAGCAAGGTGTTAAAGCTCCTGAGGGTGGAGATTAACTGGGCTGGCTTCTAAGGGATCCAGTTACAATTATGATGAGTACAGCACAGGGGGTTTCTGGCCTCCATTCCTGACAGTGTGAACAGCTGCAGGGTGAGCTGAGGTGGCGATTGCCTGTGCAGAGAAGAGGAAGATGGCAACTTTCATCAGACTAGAAATGATGCGGTTTCATGTTCACATACCGACCTCTGCAGACACATGGAGCCCACGAGCAAAACCTTCGGAAATAAACGCTAAAATAACACTATGATTTTTCAATTATTATTTTGGAATGCTATCCACAATAAATAAACTAGATTAAAACAAAATGATTTTATGCCACAGCTCAAGTGGTTCAATTGCCTGGGAGCTTTTTTCAAGTTTTATCTTTTTTTTTTTTAAATTGGATTGTGTCTAATCTTTTACTTATTTTTTTCAAGTTTTATCTTGAATTAATCTTGGAGGGCTCAGCAGGAACCCTTCTTAGAAGTGTCTGCAATTACATGAGGGCTTGACTGAGTGTGTCACTGCTTGTCCAAAGCTCTGGTGGCAAATGAAACATAAATGACATAGGAAGGACCCTTTATTACACCTGTTAAAATAAGGCAGGGACTTCCTTGGGAAGCTATAAATTCTTGGTCACCGTGAGG